TAACTGGTGGTTCGATCATATTCCTCACTTAGTTGAGTTCTGAATATATAATCAGGGGGTTTTGGTTTCTTACTCAGGTGTTATTTAGCCTACAAATATCACCTGTCTACATTAAGACTAATCATTCAAAACAAGGTTACGAAAGACAGTAAAATTAAATAGCTATATAGTAGAACAATTGATTGACTGGTTTAGTGAAGTCATTGAAGTGGCTTGCCACTCGACTGATGCTGAGAAGACGACCTACTTAGAGGGAGTAAAAGTCGTAACAAGGTTTCCTTAGGTGAACCTGCAGAAAGATCATTACGAGATATCCCTAAATATATTGTACCTCTTGACAGACAAATTGAGAGGATGTCATTCATATGATAAGATGGCTACTTAAGAATTTATATGAGTAGCTAAACTTGATAAGTAAAATCTTTGGTAGACTGATTGTATAAGGTAGTTTTGCTTTCAATCAGCACGCAACACCGACAAATATGCTACAGTAAATCTTAAAGTACAGCTTTAAATTTCTTGTAGTCTACTTGGTGACCATCAGTAGAATCCATGACTAATCAGATAGGTATTATAACATGTCCTATGTGTCTCAAAACTACGCTAAAACTAAGCAAAAAATACCCATCACTGTGACCCAAATCGCTTGATCGGCTACATAGCATGTGCTTCAATCTACTACTGAAAACGAGTTCCGAAGATTACAGATACACCTTGTCAATGAGTTCAGATTAGCATGTTACCTAGGTCAATAGTCTTCCTATAGATTAACGACTTAAAAACTTTAAATACCAATTTAATAACTTTTTCTTTTCATGAGCAGTCACCTCAATTTTCTGGAACAAATAATTTTCTTTCATGTTCACTTTTTGTCCTTATCTAATCTGGTCTATAAAGGTAATATGCATTCCTGATACATAATCAGAACAACTGACCTTGACATGATTTCATTTTATCTTATGATTGTAAATATTTCTGAACATTTCATTTTTTTTCGTCAGTTGACATTTTTAACATTTTTCTTTCTTTCAAATCCGCATTCTTTGATGGTTGTTGATGAAAAGGGTGGCAAAAAAGATGAGTGAAAAAATATTTGTATATGAGAGAGAGAGAGGTAGAACGAAAGAGAAAGGTGAATATTTCTAATATGATAATTAATTAGGCCATCATTACATTTTACCTCAGAATATTTTGTTCCAGTATTTCAAAATATGGGGTGATAAGATGGAAGATATGTAGTGTACACTGTCGATTTTCTTTCTTTGTAGCCTTAATCAGCTGGTGAAGACATTCCTTAGTATAGTCCATAGTGGAATGTAAAAATCAAAATAACGTATGATATGTAGTGAAACATTCAAAAGCACCTAAGCCACATAGTAAAGGATATATTTACGGTTTAACTTTTCTAAAAATCTATATTTATAAGTTTACATAGTATGGTTACAGTGATTACTTAGTAGGCGAAAACTGATATTGTTATAGATGTTCCCTGAAGTGCCTAGATCAAGTTTGTAATATACCTACTATGATACACTTTCTTTCTTATCAGTTGTTCGAAGACATACGGCAACAGACCTTGTTTGAAATTAATTTTGTGTTCGTATCAATCAATTTCGAGGTCCCACACTTTAATACTGAGCTTTCTGTCTCTAGTTACTAAGTTCAAAGTAAAAAGTCATGAGATGTCACAAATATAATTTTAGAGGTGACCGATTCAAAGACTAATTTTTCTGATGGTAGACATTGTTTATTTCAGCTATCCTTTTTGGTTTTTAAAGACATTCTGTTTGCTTCATGATATCAGTCACACTGTTAATGAACTTCACTCGATATGATAAGCTGACAATCTTACTATGACTGAAGGAAACTGTTTCTTTACTTGATCAGTATCAATAGTTTGATGTTTGATGTATAGATAGAGTATTTTGATAGGCTGTAAATTACTTATCTATTTCCTCGAATAAATATTAAAAGTCAGTCAGTAATTGACAGAATTTTGATTCTTGTAGGACTCCTAGATTAATGATCTCATAACTCAACGAGTCTTGATTATTCCTAATGGTTTCGTTATTTTGCGGACCAGTGTTTTTACTCCTAATGAGTGAAATCTGTACTACAAGTTTACTGTAGCATATTTTAACCCTTGCATAATATTGAACCATTTGAAAATAACTGTCCTATTATTCATGACTTTCTTCCATTTATCATTTGAATAACGTCGTTCATGGTGACAATAAAAGAACAGTGTGAGAAAATATATTACCTCAAGGTCATATAGACACTTGAGGAATTTATGTACAGTTTGAATCTCTAGATGTTATTTGTAAGTAAACCATTTAAACTTATCAGTTTAAGCAAAAATAAACTTTAAATGAACATAACATTAATATTCAATTAACAGTTGGCTAGAATTCCGTTGATCTAAACAACCTTTTGCTGATGCTTAATAGTCGAATAAATCTTAGTCTCAGTGTGTATACTTTTATAGGATTTATTGTCATCTAACTCCCATAACAACTAACTGACTACCTGAATCGAAAACAACACACTCAGATAATTATTCAGTAATCTAGTCTAAGACAAATGCATCGCCTGAATGTAATAGATCCTGGTGAGTTTCACTGTTCCCATTGAAACCTGAAGTAAATACATTACTAAAACTTGACTACAAACAGTTCTGATGAGTCTATTCACAGAGCCTTTGCTGCTGATGATGACTGTGGTGGATTTACTTTTGCTTGTCAACAGCGGTAACAATGAAGAGACTTCTCCAAAGAATATTAAGATTTTGTGCTATATAAAAAAAACCTTATTGAGCAGTACGATTGCGACTAACATTTAGTAAGCACTTGCAAACTATATATATACATACATCATAGAAAGTTGACTTTGAATAATCAAGATTCATGGAAAAGTAGGAAAACATTTACTCATCTAGTACGGTTGCACCAAAGTAGGTCCGTGTTAACAACTCTCAGGATCTTTTTTCGAATCCAGTCACAGTTGAATGTTGTTTACGTCAAACTCAGTGATCACTGATGTATAAATAAATTAATCAGTTAGTTGGTTTAACCACTAAATAATAATAATTGGTAATAATCAATGACTATTCAGTTTTTACAAATTGAGGTTATATTCTATTACCTTACATCTCGAAATAATGTTTCGAATGGTACTTGCTGTAATCAGATCATATTCTGCTTTCATTTACATGAATTGTAATTATACTTCTCTATTAACCGAATTTTAAAATGTTTAGAAACTACCTTTGATTTTGAATATTTCTTAGAGATTAATTAGCATGGTTTCCATTATTTGTATAACATTTAACAAGAGCTATCTCTTTTAACCTTTCCTCAGAATATGGATTTTCTGTGAGGAATAAACAGACATTGTGAATACTCTACGTAGCTTATTGAGCCGGAAACCCGGTGATTGACAGTTCAAACCCTCCCGTGGGTCAAATTTTCATTTCACCTTCAGTCATCACTCTGTATCAAAAACTTATGTTTTGATACTTGTAATTTCCTGTTGCTACACTGGATCAAATTAGTCGACCTCTGTCGGCAAATAGATTTCAATACGGATACCTTGATAATGATCAGTACCAGTCGCTTCAAACACTATAATAGCACGGAATTACACAAGATCAATAAATGTTAAATGATACTCGTTGCACAAGAGGTGTCTCATGTGACTATGTAGGATATTGGGTAACGACTTACATCCGTCTTCGAGTGCCAGAGGGAACACTGTAGTTCACCTGGGTGCAAGCAAATCCAGCTAATGAGTGCTTAGTAGGGTGGAACGCACACTCGCGATCCCATTGCCAGATTCATTCAAGTAAATTAAAACAGTTGTGAATAAATTCTAATATACTTAGACAACTGATAGACTTCTATTAAACTTATCACCATTCATAAATGGAGGTCAGTAATTGGTACTTAGCTTATCTACTAAAGTATAAAGTGGCAAATAAGTTGTCTTATTTCTTAAAAATACTGCAAACTGGTTTCCAGGTAAACCGCTTTCTTCGGAAAAAAAACATTTTTAGCCTCACAAATCATCGTATCGTTGATTTTTTTAAACTTCAGTTTTCATTCTCTGTATATTGTGAAATCAGCCATGAGCCGACTAAACATAACCTATATTTGAATCTTTCTTTATCGTCAACAATAATGACATATTTCAAAAGTTGATGCAACGGTTTATGACATTTTATTTCCCTCGTCTGCAAATAATTTTGTCATTAATTCGTGCTACTCATGAGTAAGATGTTATTTACAAAGTCATTTTCCTGCTGGACTGATACTAAAAGAGTGGTTTTCAGAAATATCTTCCTAATGGTTAAAAATTATCATTTATTGCATTCTGATAGGTAACATTCAGAGTGTATACTGTCAGCCAGATATGGTATAGCTCAAGCAGATGATTCATAACACAGAGATTAACTGTTTAGTGTGATTGCTGACGAGTCTCAAATAGGATGAAATGCGCATCCTCGATTCCACTGCTAGCCACTGCCCATCATTACTGTACACAGAGATCAACTCTTGAAAACTAGAAGTAAAAACTGGGTATGACATTTAGTGACATTTAATCAGCGGTGAAAATCTCTCTGGTACAATGCAGCAAAAGACACTTTGATACTACTATGTTTCACAACTAAACTATTCCAGTCAGGTTTCCAAAGCAGGTGTTGTAATTCACAGATCCATGTCATATTCAGAACTTCAGTTTCTCAGAAGACACTGGCAAATGCGTTTAAGTAAACATATACTAAGGACATTTGATAATCAGTGAAAATTCATTGCAAAAGAGTCTTGACTTCAAATAAACTATACAATGCATGAGCACAATTTGAACAAAATAATACATATGTCAAGAAATAGTTTCAGATGAAACTATATATATATATATATATATATATATATATATATATGCATTCCGTCTAATCATAACTTTATTCATTGGTTTTCTTCTCTCATCAATCAACCTAGGCATAAAAAGTCCGAAGAAGGCTGTAAAATAATCATCCGTCAGACAGCAGACGCTGATGAACACTTTTTCAAAGCATTGAGAGGATTGAAAGTGGATGTTTCAGTAAGTTGATGGAAATAGTAACAAATGTAAATTCCTTGCAACATTTTAACAATATCAGCATAACAGAGATTTTAATATATTTTTGTGTGATATCTGAGAGTCAAATAAAACCAGTGGAAATTGTAAAGTACCTAAAATCTATCCCATTACTCTCTATAAAAGAAATTTACTTCACAATCCTTCTCAGAAGCTAATACTCAATCCCTGAATTCTCTTCAAATCACTAGTCATAGACTTGTTAAACTTCTAGCTTGTAAATTTTACATGACATTTCAGTTTTAGCCAGAATCATTCAGTCTAATGAAACAGCTTTCTTTACAGCCTTATTTATTTACTTGTTTTCTATCGGATAAAGATTCTACTACACAAATGGTCGTAGCTGATTCGTTAAGACGGTTGACATTCGTACAGATAGCAGCAGGCTGAAATGTTGATTCATCTGATAATTATTCTAATATTCTGATGAAGCTTTGGCTTATGTACTGAAATGTCCAGAAAAATCTTGTTAGGATTTTCTAAACACAATGAGATTACATATTTTATACTGGGCGATGATGGAAGGTGAAGACCTGAATCGCGGCCGGACTCGAACCGGCGACCACCGCGCTACCGGCCAGGTGCTCCACCAACTGAGATACGACGTTCGAATGCTAACCAGATTTTATTTCACTTCAATCACCAAGGGTTTTACCCGACTATCATGTTAATTTGTGACGCGTTACTATCGCTCGATCGTATTCACACTGACTGCCCTGCGGTCGCTGGTTCGAATCCGGCCGAGGTCCAGATTTTCGTCTCACCTTCAATCATCACCCAGTATAAAATACTAATCTGCCAGACTACGGCTATTTCAAACAGTCAAATGATCAACAATCAGACTACATTAAGCTACGCTCATAAAAATCTTAGTTGCTCACTAATTCTGATTTGGCAACACTTTTTGTTTCTACAAAAAATTAGGTAATAATTGTTACCTGCATAAAAGGGTAATGATTACTAATATATACATGCACTTAAAAAATATTTCATAGTAATAACTAACCTTAACATCTAAAAGTAAGCACTTAGAAAGAAAGTTAGTTTTGAAAGACTATACAAATTACTAATACATGACAGATTACATCTAAAAAATAATCACTTCAGCAAGTACTCAGAAAACATGAAGCCTTTATACTCGCAGAAAGTGATTACTTCAGTTCAGTATAACAGCCAACGGGAAATCACAAAACACAATCAATAATGGATGATGCTTATTGTGTGGGAGGTGGCTCATGTGACTCAGTAGCCAAGTGGATAGGGTTCTGCACTTTGAAGCGATCGGTCCTGAGTTAGAGGGTCAACAACATCACTCACTGGGAGGCAAGTACATTCAGCTAACGAGTCCTAAATAGGACAGAACTCACGTTAAGCTGGATTTCACTGCTAGCCACGATCCATTATTAAAATATAATTCAACCACAGATAATATCAAGGCACCCTCACAGGAACCTATATGCCAATGGAAACTGACCGATTCGGTTCACTCAATAACGAGATAATACACGCGACAACAACAGATAAAGAATATGGTGAAAACTTTGATTAATTATCGGCAAACAGTTGGGGATACTGCATGATTTAAAATACTTGGTGATCGGCATTTTTGTGTTTAAGTAGCTCTAAACACAAGAATACTAAATTATGTCTAGCTAGATGAACACCTGACTGAAGTGAACAGACAGATTTATACTGACGAGTGTGACAGTTACTAACTCGAATGGTGACTGTTTCCGAAATTCAGTATCGTAGCACTGAGAACCAGATAAATAAATGCACTAATCTCCTTGCTGCATAAAAGATGTTACCAATTCAGTGTAACTGTACTATCTACCTCAGATAAAGAATAGTCAACATGAGATAATATGTAAGCCAATAAATACCCAGTGATTTCTCACTAATGGCTGTATTCCAGCATTTTTATTCACTATGAAGTATTATCTGATGCATCAATCATTTCTACTCGAACTATACCGAAATATTACAGGTGCTGTTTCATTTTCTTTAGTCATATACTCTACTGTATTCAAAAGACCTTTGCACTTAAGATTTCGAGGTATACTTCGAGCATTCATTCTGCCCTGAAGTTTAACACTGAAATGAAATATCTGCTTGCTTGTTTCTCGGGTCAAGTAACTAAGTCATTCGCAGAAAGATTTAAATCTGAACTTTTCTCAGTGAAAAACCTTAGTGCGTCATGAACATGCCTAAGATCAGTTTCATTACATATGCTTTATAATGATAATAATAATGTATTTCGAATAATGAATTATACGGGCTCATGCCATTTTTACAGGCAATATCTATATCGATTTTTACTATGAGTTCTTACGAGGGATAGGTGCGTGATCATGATAATCAGCTATCAAGCCTAGAGATTTACCTACCGATCGAGAATGAGATCTGTGCAAACATCTGTAGGATGTCCTTTGTACACGTCGTTTTGTGTTTTGGCAACAAAAACCATCTTTATGGGCCCTAAAATTACAGACCCGACATCGCTGTTGTTTAGGTGGATAAGATTTGACGAAACGCCAGGCACCATAATGCCAGAAAGGAGATGGGGGTATCTTCTCCGAGGGTCGGTTGGTATCGCATGAGTTACTGGGCCGATGAACAGGCGAGATAAGGCTAGGGGTGTTTGACTAGAGGATGATGTGGAGGAATGAGATGTCTGGCAAACTGTGCGTACTTCAGAACCACCTAGTGTCTGGATTGGACTAACCGTGTATCACGCTGCAGGTTGTCCGGTTGTCGATATTCTGCAGACATGACATTCAGTGTCTGAACTGCAGCGTCCTACAACCTGTTATCGTCGAATTATGCAATTTCACATTGAGGATAAGTAACTACTACGTTAACAAGTATTTATTTGTTCTCCTTCTTTTTCTTCCACAGACTGACCTTAAGTCATCTGATTTCCAAAAAACATCACGTACTACAGAGACATGCAATAAAATATCAGCACTTCCCTCACCCGACAAATCATCGATTCATTTACTCGATTCTAGTCAAGAAAGAATTAAACATTTATCATATGTAGAAGATAAAAAGGAAGAGAAGGAGAAGAGGACGCGTTCCGCTGCAGAACTAGCCGTAGATGAACATTTCGAAAAATCTTTAGCAGCATTTCGTGCTTCCACATCTTCAAAAAAGTCCACTGATCATCTTTTACACGATGATCATGTGAAATCTAAGTCGGTCTTATCAAATTCCAAGGATAACAACTCAATAAACAACATTTCAGTTAGTTCTGATTCATACTTACAGAATGATATACCGATAACTTTCGATTCTAAAATTCAGCATAAGTCTTTACAAACGGTCCCGAGGGGTGAATTGTACGATGTGAATTCAATACTTCAATACAATAATGATAATAATATCAAGCCCACATCCAATCCTAATTTGACAATATCATGTGAAAATACTCACTTTTTTCCATTAACTGCCTCGGTATCATCAAGGCAATCAACTAATATCAATGAGATGAATGCTGAGAATGGAATGAATTCTTTGACTCAAGTTCACAGTCCAACTGTTTCTACTAATCGATTCAAAATGAAATTCGCCTCATCATCTACATCCTTACCACCATTACTTCCTATTAATTCATTTAAACCGAAGAAAAACTGGCTTGCCCAATATGACTGGAGATATCAACAATCTGAGACAACAAATATTAGTCCTACCACGCCAAATACAAATCAGTCTATTTTCGATTCATCTGGATCATCCCCATCTTCTGTAAATATAACTGGTGAGAGTATGGAAGATGTTCAACAGATTTCAAATATATCCATGCCAAAATTGCATATAATCTCCGAATTATGCAATATAAACAGTTTAAGTAAAAATAATGATAAAAATAATGATGGTGATAATAATGACGGTTTGTTCACAGAGGAAGCTCCAGACATAAAAAATGATCAAGACTACATCTTTGTGCATTCTTCATCATCTTCCTGTTCTTCATCTTCCTTCTCTACCAATAATACAAATGAACACTGTGAAATTAACAGCAATACAGATCAACAACAGCACCAACAACGGTCAGTCAATACACCACCAAAAATTTGGAATATAAACAAATCAAAATTCTCGTTCCCTAAAATTGATACAACACCTTTAGATGACAAAGAAGACGGCGGTAAAAGCGAAGCAAAAAAAAAGTTGGACTGTCAAGTTTATCTAAATACTGAAGACTTCAGAGGGGTGAGTTAAAATTTGATTTTTCCATTCTGAAAGATTTTTTGAAATTGTTTTCAATTGGGAAAACATTGTTTTAATCAAACTGATAGATACTACAATTTGGGAAACGTTGGAAGTTTCCTAGCTCAGAGTGTCGAGTAATAAACACTTATCTTAGAATTCTTCATGTTCTTAAGACTTTCAAATTAGACATCGAAAATCATTATCTTAATTCGAATTTACCGCCATCTTTTTTACTTCCTTTGAAGTACAACCTACATCAGTATTAAGATCTTGTACTAAGTCACTATTGTCATCTTCGTTCGGTATATTTATTAGCTAAGATTCAGAGTTTGGAAGAATATCACAGAAATACTTCTATATCTTCACTCACCACTTTATATATGTTTACAGTGACTTCGCGTAACCTAAGTAATATATATGTGGACGCTTGTTTAATAACCTTAAAATTCTACTCTTTGTTGGCTACTCAGTTTCTCCGTAAATAGAAAAGGCGGTAACGGAACAGGTGTACTTACAACGTCAAAGGCAATGTCCACAATCGATGCAAACTACAAGGTTTATATATCTCACAATGGCCTCGGCTATTTCCAGGCCTACTAGATTTAAATTCTATTGATTTTTGATTCTTTCAACCAACCTGATACTAACATGTTGGTTCACGTGCTTTTCCCGAAACTTCAAAGCAAAGCGATTGGTTGAAAAAGCCCTCAATGGTTTACGGCAACTTATGAAGATATTGGTAATCTTATTGCACACTATAACAGCCCCGCCTTAAAAGAGAGATTGATAGTACAATGATGTCTTCTAATTGACTAGTAACGTTTCTCTGAATCGTGACAAATTATTCCGTCATTCCGACTTCTGATAAAAATATCACAGCAGAGAGTCAAATTCACGTGCTTGATTGATTAAACACACCCAGTGGTTTTTTCTTCTCAATGGAAATTTCTAACCAACTGATTCAAAAGACCTAAAAAATATGTTGTACATGGACTCGGTTTAGTCATCCAATACAATGTTAAAAAATAAGATATCCCGCAGCATACACCTTACATCTTCAGACATCAAGGGAATGATTCAGATTTCACACCAAGAAGTCACTGAATACCTTCTAGTTTATGTATCTACAAGATACTGTCGTCTATCAGTGTTCAGCGACATATATATTTGCACCTAACATTTACACTTGGAATTGTAACTGATATGATTCGAAAACTGCTATACGCTATGACCACTAAAGATGCACGGATATCGAGTGTCAGACATCAACATTCAACAAATTCCTAGTTGATTCCCGATACGATGGACATGTATTTGAAGTCGAAAGACCGAAGACCCAAAAACGAAGAAAAATATATCTAATATATAGATAGTTTTCTGTTTAAAATAATCCTATTGATTGGCTGATCCACCGTGTCTGTCTAACTGTAGACGCGATCATATAAAGTACATTTTGATTGGTCCCTCTCCAGACTAGTCTTTCCTCTCTATCCCCATATCACCTTCCTCTTCTAAGGAATGTAATTTGAGATCATACTGTGCCGCACTATCTTTTTCCTGAACCTAACTGACTGAAGCAGATGCAGTTTCTCGTTGTTTACTGGGAGATCAGTAGTCGTCTCGATATTCTTTCGAGAGATAGGTGCGTGATCATGATAATCAGCTATCAAGCCTAGAGATTTACCTACCGATCGAGAATGAGATCTGTGCAAACATCTGTAGGATGTCCTTTGTACACGTCGTTTTGTGTTTTGGCAACAAAAACCATCTTTATGGGCCCTAAAATTACAGACCCGACATCGCTGTTGTTTAGGTGGATAAGATTTGACGAAACGCCAGGCACCATAATGCCAGAAAGGAGATGGGGGTATCTTCTCCGAGGGTCGGTTGGTATCGCATGAGTTACTGGGCCGATGAACAGGCGAGATAAGGCTAGGGGTGTTTGACTAGAGGATGATGTGGAGGAATGAGATGTCTGGCAAACTGTGCGTACTTCAGAACCACCTAGTGTCTGGATTGGACTAACCGTGTATCACGCTGCAGGTTGCCCGGTTGTCGATATTCTGCAGACATAACATTCGGTGTCTGAACTGTAGCGTCGAAAGTGAGATCATGTGGGTTCTACGGTGAAATCATGTTGCAGTACTGATCCAGGTCAGGTGGAGTGGGTCAAATTATTAGACGTACCTTCCAGGAATCATCTTCACCACCAAAATTTACTTTGAAGTAGTAGTCTTCGTAACGCCTAAATCAACTATCGAAAGTCTCATTGGCATCAGGATCGTAGTGAAATTCAGTGATGCTGCTGGCGATACCATCAACTGAAGGAGCTATTAAAACTGGCGTAGTATGCGATGATTCAGTGCAAGAAATTTTGAATGGCGTAAGTATCTCGCTAATCCTCATTTGCTGTTTGAGGAAATAGTTCAACTTCGAAGAATCCATTTCCCAATATCCCACCCGTTGCCACTGTTACGATTTGAAAAATGCTTTGTGCTATACCCGTTAACGATGCACGGATATCGAGTGTCAGCAACTTAAATTCATCCGACTTTTTAAAGAAATATTTGTATGTATATTAAACTATGACACAGGTTATTTATTGATATTTCCTTTTTTTCTCTACTTTTCTGATAACTAGAAAAGGAAAACTGAAGAAGATACTGATGAAAAACAGTTCCCTACATCCAGTGATAAAAACAATAACCCTAACAGATCTAATCAAGATTCGAATTGGAGATTTTCCAGTTCAATGTCATCTTCTCCAATATTTCAAGATAATGAACAAACATCCGAAGAAGATCCTTCCAAAGATGCTTTCTTCAGTAGTGGTTCTACATACAGCCTAGACTCAACCATAAATTCAGGATCATTCAAACGAAATGAGATGAATGCAATGATCTCTAATAAAGACAATAATCATAGTAGTAAACTGAAAGATGAAGTTAGCAGTAAATTTTCCACTGGACAACAATCTTTATTACATCAAAGTCATAGCTGTAACAAACAATATCAACTACAATCGATGACAAGTGAAATGAATGACAAGTTTGATAATGACGAAGCATTGCATAATTCATGGAGTTTACGTAAACGTGTATCCTCTGATGTAAGTCCATGGTCTACGTTGAAGCGGTCTAGATCAGTGCTAACATCGCCAAGTTTAAGTAGTGATAAATCTTCAGTGAATATTGCTTCATCAAGTGAATTGTGTTCCGAAGAAGCTTATCAAATAAACGAAGAGTGTGAAATGTACAATGTAAATGATAGAGGTTTTGTTCATAGTAAATCAATGGACAGTACTCTGAATCCATTCGATAGTATCAATTCCAATATAAAATTATCCAAATGTATTATATCTAAATGTAAATCAATAACAGATACTGAAACACTAACTGAAAAGAAAAAAACTTGTAGTGAACCAAATGTGCCTACAAGTGGATCTAATACTTCAAAGGAAAAATCACTCACAGGTGCATTATCGTCTCCATCATTCCGTCAACTTGAGCATCATCTTAATCCTTAATATTACCTGCTAAATCAGTCATTAGTACAAAACCTGTCATTATTAAAACAAAAATACGTGTATATTTAAGATCTCTGATGATCAGCACTTAAAGCTAGAACATCTTAATTATCCGGTGGAGAGAAAAGTAACTCGGAGATTATTTCAGTCAACCTTCTAATTAATCTTTCTTTAAATCTTACACAATCATATCTTCAGGTCAATGTTCAATTCACGTGTCTCTACTTGTTTTGACCTTCAAATATCCCGAAAACCGAGAATTGACATCTATATTAAATCACTACTACGTTTTTAGTTTTGCGTGCATCTTCATTAACATATGCTTCTTATATATATATATATATATATATATATATATATATATATATATATATATACATATATACATATATATATATATATATATATATATGTTAACCACGAAATGTCTTTCGTTTAATCGTCCAATACTACCACTTTTATTACTAATACGTCGTCCGTACTACTTATATGACTTGATAATAAGGTGTATTTATAATTAGCAGCCTTTATGCATAAATTTCCTGCTAATATTTACACTTATCAGAGTAAATTTTTCGACTGATATTTAAATTTGTCTGTTTTCTGAAGTAGGAGCAAATTATCCCATCTACTTTAACTATTTGAATTCTACGGTACATTATGAAACAGTGAATGTTCAACAAACACTACAATGGTTGTTTTTCTTCTTTTCATTGATTTCTTGTTTTGAAAAATTATTCAAAAGTATGCTGAATGAGCGAAAATTTATACGGTAAAATACACAATAACAGTTCTGAAATGAAGAAGGAATGATGTTATTCCTTCGATTCATACTTTGATTTATCTCTCGCCAACTGATGATTTGTACATTATAAATATGAGTATTCAATAAACAAAAACTGATTTTACGCTTTTCATGCTTCTACAATACATTGGATATCTTGAATACTGAATAGTGACAATAGTGTAATGCTGAGTGAACCTGCAATAAATCATTATAATGACTTGTTAAAAACAACCCAAATGTCAAACGATTTCCAATTAGTTGAGGCATATTTGTGATGCAGGTTTGACAAATAATTTATAGTTGAGATAAAACCAGCTCTAACTAACATATGATAAATTATTTAAGGCCATTTTATGGTACTACTGAGTAAGAAACTTTCAACTATCTGGAGGAAAGTACCAAACATTTTCTTTATACTGGGGGATTTATACTTGAAATAGTTGAGAATATTTGTAGCTAAGGTTGATGGTCTTGGTTGTATTGTGTTCTCTAAACTGGGTGGTTGTGTAATCGTGGGGCTTTCATCCTCTTTCTAGATGACATCATCCGGACTGACTTCAGTATGAAGTTGACTGTTCCTCTGTTTGACCTCTAACCTTTCTATCGTTTATCATTTTTCATATGAATTGGTAGACTAGATCTATGTCTATACATCTATTGATTGCTGATTGACCTAAATGGCAAGCTTCTAGGAATTCTTTGATATTCTTTGTTTTCTCTATCCGAGATTTCTATATTGTCAAAATTGAATTATTGTCCATAGTTATCCACGTGCACTGAAATGAGTGATGAAATGTCGTGACGTTTAACAGCCAATTTACCAACCGATAAGAAAAATGATAAATAATAGAAAGGTCAGAGGTCAAACAAAGGAACAGTTAACAGGAAAATCTCTCCAGTCAGTGATGTTACAATCAAAGGAAACAACCAATCACAAACCGGTTGGTCAAGGCAAGCTAGCGAATCACTGACGGAGAGATACTGACACCTCACTTTATACTGAAGTCAGCCCTGATGATGTCATCTAGAAAGATAAAACCACACAACCACCCAGCTGAGAAAACACAATACAAACAAGGATTTGTACCTCTTGGTCTTCAAAATAAAATTCAATGACTTCAGCTATCCAGTTGCTGAATTTAAAGCTTTTAAAATTTGAACGCAAGGATTTCAATGATTTCTGGCTGCCTAAACTTGTTCGAATATACATCACGTCTATTTTCATGAATTTGAACACATTTTGTCATACATATACAATGATGCTCAGCGCTTGAATAACCCCCATGGCATTCATATTCAGCGAAGGCAGTAATAAAACCGAACGCCGGATGAAATTTGAAAATACCTTTCCCACTCAATGTTCGCTAACACCACTGGCGACTTAATTCCGTTTTCCACATGCTTCTGTGAAAACGCGCACCCTGGTCCTAAAGAATTGTCATTTCCAGTTAAAAAAACACTTGAACCGACAACCACCTGGAACTCGTCCAGAAATACCACCAGCAGCCCATCCACACAACTACCAGTGAACACGTGCCTGACAAAGGCAGAAGTGAAGTCATGAACCCCATAAAGTCGCTGAAATCCGGGAAAGCAGCAGGACCTGATGGGATTCCACCAGGAGCACTAAAAGCAGACGCAGAGACAACGGCAGACACGCTCACACCACTATTGCAGAAGGCTCGCAAGGAAGGAAGAAGAGGTACCTACCGACTGATTGGAAGAAGGGCTACCTTGTCGAACTTCCAAAGGAGGGAGACCTATGTCTTTGCAAGAACTGGCGCGGAATCATGCTCCTGTCCACCCCAAGCAAAATAGTATGCCACATCATCCTGGAGAGACTGAAAGATGAGCCGGACTAAAAATTACGACCGCAACAGGCTGGCTGACTTCAGGAAGAACAAATCATGTGCGGATCAAATTGCAACGCTATGCTGCGCATCATCGTAGAACAGAGTACAGAACGGCAGTCAACTCTCTACCTCAACTTCATAGAATTTGGAAAGGCCTTCGACAGCGTAGACCGAGAAGTAATTTGGCAGCCACTGCCTCGAAACTACAGAATACCACAAACCTTTATCAATCCTATTAAACAGCTATATGAAGGCACAACATGCCAAGTGATTCACAATGGAAAGCTCAGCGACACCTTTGAAGTGAAGACAGGGGACAGGAGTAAGACGAGGCTGCCTACTGTCACCGATCATCTTCCTAATTGTGGTCGACTGCACTGAATCATGCGGCAAACCGTGAGGGGTGAGAAGAGAGGCGTACGCTGGACCGATGAAAAGACCCCAGAAGATTTGGATTTCGCTAATGGTGATTTACGTCTGATGTCGCACAAACCCGAAAATCTACAGGCAAAACCAACAAGTTGACAGAAGAGGCAGAGCAGTGCAGCGAAGATGGAACTTCAAGTGAACTTACAGAAGATAGAGGTTATGAAGATACCCAACCAGCAACGAGAACAAGAAGCACCAATCACCATCAACGGGAGAAACTTCAAGGAACTTGTCTCCTTCATCTACCTAGGCAGCATCGTTTCAACTACAGGTGGCGGCACTGATGAAGACGTCATAGCCAGGATCGGAAAAGCAAGACAGGCCTTCATTAATCTGAAATCAGTGTGGAGATCTGCTGCACTCAGCATAAAGCGTGAACAAGATCCGGATTTTCAACACCAATGTCAAGTCAGTGCTTCTGTGTGACGGTTGAGAGACTCGGCGCGTCACGAGAAGCATTTCCAACAAACTACAGACATTCATCGACAGCTGCTCACGCTGGCTCGATACTGAAGATCAGATGGCCAGAATAATCAGAATAAGCAACAAGGAACTCCGACAACGAACCAACCAAGAAGCCATCACCCAACAGATATGCAGAAGAAAGTGGAGATGGATTGAGCACACACTGAGGAAACCGTTCGGGGACATCACGCATCAGGCCCTCAAGTGGAATCCAAAGGGGGAACGACGAGTTGGGGGTCCGGGGTGAGGGTGACGTGGAGGAGACCATGTGGGGAAGAAACGAAAGCTTGTGGGCAGTCGTGGAGCCAGGCTGAGAGGACTGAAGAGAACAGAGTGAAATGGTGGTGTGCCACCGAATCCCTATGTTCCGCCAGGAACCCAAGGCATAAATAGTAATAATAATCTGGTCATCTTCACTGGTGTAGCTTCAAAATTTCCTTCACTTTAAAGGCGAAAATTTATGCCTCCAAAATTTTTACCGACATTGGAGTGCAAATGTCCACTGTCAGCTTGAACGAAATCTAGAATAACGCCTGCAAAATCTGCTTCTTTAACATCTTGTGCTTAATGGTTTACAAAAAGTTAAGGTAAGCTGAAGTATACGAAGTTTCGACTTTACGGGAGAATACTTTCACAGAGATCTGAGTCTTTTCATCACTCAGAGCTTCAAGGATCCGTGAAATGTCACAGACTAAATAATTTAAAAATCCTTCCACATATCCTCAGCTTACCTTCCTTTTTGGTAAGTAGTAATCCGACGAGAAATACGCTTATCTGTCTCTGGATTCGCATTCCAAAAATATGATTACTCAGCTTTACACGCACAACTGTCTAAACGTTGTGAGCTAAGATCCCGCAGGACACCTTCTGCCTAGTTTGCATACTACAATGATGCGACGAAATACGCAGACCAGGAAGTTTGCTATTCCATGTCGTATCACGTCACAAAGGTCTGCTGGATGCTGACAAGACAAAGATGAGTTATCTACACAGCATATGTAACCACGATATATAGAAATTTGGAGGGCGAAGTTGTACAGCCGGCAGAACAGGATTTGAAATAAGTCGTGTTTTCCATTCCATAGTGATGCTATCTTTCCCATAGTAATTAAGAGTCGGCAAATACCAGCCTGAAATACAAAACTCGACTCTGCCAGCACTCATATGGTTCAGACGCTTTGGGTTTATTAGCTGGAGGCTCAACAACGAACGTCCGTAAAAGCCGTGTGATTAACCTCAAGAGGTCGTCTTTCAGTCTCTGTAGTCATGCCCCACTAAAGCCAATAGAATTTGTTCTCCAAGTTTCTCGAGATGAGGTCTTGTCACACCTGTAGTATCAGAAGCTGGTATAGATGTTCATAAAGTCTCTTCAGTGAAGCGACATCAGCACTGAGGATACATTTGCCCCGAAATAACATGCAAGTTGGATATTAATTTTACTGGAGTAAGTAATGTGGAAAAATTGATGAATGCCTTGTAGGCAAATATAAGTTTAACTGAGGAAGATGATTTAAACAGGACTGGATAAGCTACAAACAAATGTCATGACAAATCATAGATTCTTGGAATATGCGACCGAAAAATAAAAGAGGGATATTTTCTGGGGATGAAGGGTACATCACAAAATCCATCCTTCCAGTTATTGGAAAAATAGGTAGCAGTGGGTACGATAATAAATCCAGATGCTTGGGAATCGTACATACCGTTATCTGGAATATGTTCCCCCATGAAGTTGCCGTTCGAGAAGAACACTTCATTGAACGGACAATCGGAGTGTACAGAAACAACACCGAAATATGTGCAGTCGTCTT